GACGAATATGCCCCCTAATATACTAACCAGTTCAGATGTCTCATCCCCAAATACACAATGACTATGTCTCATAACTTGTAGCACTTCAGACTTTCGAGCTCCGACAAACTTGAACGGATTCGAGAACTAAACATTGTATGTATGATGCATGAGGCTTTTCAGAATAACAAGTATACAAATGATGTTATGTGCGTGCTCCTGCAGCTCTATCAAGTCCTATTTATAGGACTTCCAACTAGGTAGAGGATGACCTCTAGTCATCAACAATTAAGGCAGGCAACAACCCACTAATGACTGTTGTAAATAGGCATAAAACAGTTTAAGTGTTAAGCCTTCTATTTTCAAGTGTTAACACACCACTACTCCACCTGATAACCTTCTGAAACAATCAGGTGGAGTCCACATGTTTAGATACGTTGTATCTGTAGAGCTCCAAACGAGTTGGGTAAGAAAATCGAGGTCAAGTGCAACTCGGTTTGAATTTTAATTTGGGCCATAATTTAGCAAATAAATTTGCAACAAAATATTATAAGGGTTAGGCCTAATGTCAAGCCTAACACTGACCCAGATCGTCCAAGGCGTCCCAAGTCCACCTCACAGTCAAAGATCCAATGTCCAGGCCTAGGACCGCGCTCGTGGTCGACCTGATCCGGTGGACGTGCACGCTCGCCTGTGGCTAGGGCTGTAAATGAGCCGAGCCGAGCTCGAGCTTAAGGTGTTTGAGCTCGAGCTCGAGCTCTTAACGAGCTGAGCTCAGCTCGTTAAGTAAACGAGCCAAAAATCGAGCTTGAGCTAGGCTCGTTAAGGCCTCGATCTCGAGCCTTAATGAGCTGATCTCGAGCTTTACGAGCCGAACTATAAAAAATTACATAAATTTCACTTTTCGAGCCTTATCGAGCCGAGCCGAGCTCGGCACATTAACCAAACGAGCTTCAAATGAGCTCGAGATCGACTCGTTAAGGCTTCGAACTCGAGCCAAACCGAGCCTTAACGAGCCGAGCCGAGCCAGACTCGTTTAATTTAACAGCACTACCTGTGGCCAAAGTCCACACATACACTTAGTGCATAGTTATGTTGTTGTGACATATACAACTCTCTTTATTAAACATAGTTATTCTCATTTAAGAGTCCAAGGTGTGTCAATTAGTGACTAACTTTATTCATTTATTTTTCACCCACCGATAATCAATTTTGAGAAATAAATATACCAAGAATATATACTCGAAATGTAGAATTTTTCTACACGATTCAATTCAACTCAAATTAAATATTTTATATTTAGTTATAAAAAGAATCAGTCCAAATCGAGTCAAACCCAATTTTATTTAACCGATTTTCCAACACAACTAACTTCTAACTAAAAATACCCAATCATGATAATAAAGGTAACTAACATTCATCTCACTACAAAGATCCCCTATCCTAGGATCACACATTTGGCTGTCCACCTTTTAAGGAGAACAAATCAACATCAACCCTTACAATTTCCCCTACTTGACAAAAACTCAACACAAAATAAAAACAAGGTGAATAAAACCAATGGTTGCAAGTAAGATAATATGTGATTGGCCGTGGATCTCGAGTGTGCCTCAGGGCAGCACAATCCCCTGGCAGCTTTGGGGGGTGTTTAAATAACACCGTGGGACCCACTACAGGTGCACACCTTCCCTTTGTCTCTGGTTTTCTTTTTGGCAAGCTCGTTCTTTTTCTGCATGGGAGCGTGACAGTGAAAGAGTGTGTGTGTGTGTGTGTGTGAGAGAGAGAGAGAATTGGTTGGTGTGAAAAAAAAAACAAACAAAAAC